CTCGGATTCTCCAGCATCTGCAGTTCCTACTATCTCTGATTCCATGAATCCTGTTTGCCTGGGATGTGATCTGTTGAATGTGGGATCTCCAGTAGGGTTTTTAAAAATTCCTTCATGGTACGCGGGTGTCACTGGCTGGACAGCATTTATTGCCCGTCCCTAGTTGCCCCTGAGAGGGTGGTAGTGAGCTGCCTTCTTGAAGCCCCAGGTATGGCTATTCAGCTGCCTGTTTTACAATTGGTTTACAGAAGTTTGAGCTCTCATTGGTGCACAGTATTTGTTGGTAGTAAAGCAGTTTTTGGCATTGAACGCCATTGAAGCTGCCATCATTACAATTTCAGAAGATCATCTTACAGAGAAATGATCTTTAGCTTTACCACACAGTTGTCTGCAAACACACCTGTTTCTAAAAATGTTGGAAGGCCATTTATTTAAGTGAAGGAAAGTCCCAACACAGTGTCCTGGGACATTATCTCTGGGAGGGGATGTTTGTTCACCACTCACTCCTCTTTCTTTTCTGTCTGTTACAAGTGAAGCATCGGCAGTGTAGAAAAACTGTGATTTGGTCAATCTTTTCTTCAAAAACCATGGGCTATCTACCTAGCAGGACACTGTCAGCTTTGACTCCCCATTCCCACCCACCTCTCCCCTGCCTTCTTTTCTTGTCCCTCTTCCTGCTCCATGCTCTACATCCTACCACTCCTCCACCCACTCAGTCCTCATCTTCCCAGCTCTTCCTTCTCTCCTCCCTCAACATCATTCTCTTTTCTCCTCCACCCATTGTCCCTCATTCCTCCCCTACTACCCCTTGACCTTTCTGTCCCTCCTCCCCTCCTTCGCTCCTCCCCTCAGCACTTTCCTCCACTCTCCATTCCCTTGCTCCTAACACTCCTGCCCAGTCTCTTCTCCCTCCCACTCCTTTGTCCTACAAACCCCACAACCCCCATCCTCCCCCCACCAACCATGTTCCTTCCTCCCCTCTCCCTCACCTGATGAAAGTGGGGTCACAAAGTTGCTGAGGCAGCTGGGGACTGAGCTCCAGGCACCGTCCTCCTGACATCTGGGAAGGGGCTCTGTTGAACGTGGGTCCAGATGGAAGCCGGTCAGACAGTGGAACTCCAATGTGTCGTCTACCTGGTATGTCCTGTTCTCCGCCACCCCATTTCTGATGCTTACAACTTGGCAGACAACAACTGAAAAGGCAAGAGGATCCCTGAAATATTAATCACTGAGGCTTTCTGATGCCCAATGCTCTGAACACCAGCGCGGGCCTGGCCAAAGACAGTGGGGGTATACTGGTAACATTACTGCATTATCAATCCAGAACCCCAGGCTAATGATGTGCCGGGGGTGGGGGGGGGGTCATAAGTTCAAATCCCACCACAGCAGGTGAAATCTCAATTCAATAAAAATTTGGAATTAAGGATCATGTATCTAATGGTGATTGTCATAAATACCCAACTGATTCACATTCACTAGTGTCCTTTAGGGAAGGAAACTGCCATCCTTACCTGGTCTGGCCTACATGTGACTCCAGACCCACAGCAATGTTGTTGACTCTTAACTGTCCTCTGAAATGATCACACACGTCACTCAGTTCAACGTCATTTAGGGACAGGCAATAAATGCTGGCCCAGTCTTATGACCATATCCCCAGGAATGAATTTGAAAGTAATATATATCTCAGGTGGTGCTTTTTGAGAGTAGGTGTCTTATTTACCCACTGAAGGCCTCACCTTTCAGGCCACGCAGGTAGTTACGGGCATATGAAGATGACCAGTTGAGGAACAGGAAGAGAGGAATTATACTGTCTAATAGTGGGTTAAGGATCACTGGACAGCAATATTCAGGAGCATCAGAAGACAAACTGTAAACCAGGAGTTAAAATACCTGAGGAAGCTTTGAGGCACAACCCAGTTAGACCCTAATGAAGGCAAAATACTGCAGATACCGGAAATCTGAAACAAACACAGAGAATGCTGGAGAAACTCAGCAGGTCTGGCAGCATCTGTGAAGAAAACAAAAAATCAGAGTTAACGTTTCGGGTCCGGTGACCCTTCTTCAGAACTTCTGTGATCCTGGGAGGATTCAAAACATGAGGGATGAAACTTCAGTTGGAATCTACATTGGGGTGAGTCTGAGCCAAAGGCAGTCCCTGAGGAATGTGATATGGCTGGGGAAATGAGTTTTAGCAGTTACTTGATCAAACACCAGGAGTGACAGTGAAATTAAAGTCGGTAGACAAGACGAGAGATTGGAGAGGAAATCCCAAATTGCTGTTAAAGCTCAGCAGGTCTGGCAGCATCTGTGAAGGGAAAATCAGAGTTAACGTTTCGGGTCCCGTGACCCTTCCTCAGAACTGTAACATGTCTGCCTTGTTTACTTTGTTCTTAGTATAGAAGACACATTTCCTCCCTCTCACCTCTGAATTTACACCCATTCTCCATCTTTTGTCACTTCCTCCGCCACTAACAGGTTATGGTCCATCAGGTTTATTTAAAATCACAAGCTTTTGGAGCACTTCATCTGATGAAGGGGCTACACTCCGAAAGCTTGCGATTTCAAATAAACCTGTTGGACTATAACCTGATGTGGTGTAACTTCTGACCTTGTTCTCCCCCCAACCCCCCACTCCCCACCATTCCATCTCTGGTACCTCCACATCGTGCCCATCATTAACAACTGGTCCCTCTTCCTCTGTCAAAAGTTATTGAAATTTAACTCATTTTCAGTTTGTCCCAGATCCAACCTGGTACATATTGTGTGTAATTATCCCTCTGTAATTATGGAGAAGGTCACAAACTAAATGCAACGAGCTGGAAAATCAGACTGTTCATATGAATCTTGGCACAGGAACCAACTGGCGCAGTTTCAGCCATTCTGCACAGAACTGAACGATAAATTCCCTGGTAAAAAGAAAATAAACTCAGCTCAAAACAGGCACTAAACGTTGGGATAGGGCAAATTTTGTGGAGAGTGAGAACTATTTGGGAACTGTTATTTGCAGGCAAAGATTAACATGAGGATTGGCTCCAATTGCCGTCATCATTTGGAAAGGCAAAGTAATGTGAACTCATTGATTTACACTGACCCTGTAGTGAGGTGGGAGTGTGAAATATTAAATGGTCATATTGACACCATCAGTTATGGAGTGTATGACATGCTCAGTGCAATCTGACACAATGTTAAATTTACTTCACATGTTAAAACCCAGAGGGCATCAGCCAAGTATTAAAAAAATCAGGTAATTCAAGGGATGGTGATTAGAACGATCTCAAATGTGCTTTAAATATAGATTGGAGGAGGAACTGAAACATAGACAACAATAAAATGAGAAGCGATGATGGGATCTGTGTGAACAATAGGATCAGGGGGAACAGTAAGGCCAGAGTTGTATTATAAACATTGACCGAATGAGCAAAACTGATCAAAGGGATAAGAAGAAGGCTCTGAGACTGGGGGAAAGGTAAAGGTTGAGAGTGGAATTGGGAAAAGAGAATTCAAAGAGAGGGAGAGAGGGGGAGAAAGGTGTTCAGTAATGACAGTAGAGACATGAGAGATATCCAAGAGACATATCAAAATATTAAAGGTTTTGGGAAGTGAGGAAGCATGGACTCGAGTGGGTGTTATGAAGTGGAGCCAGACAGCAGCATGGAGTTGATGGGTATAATAGCCAACCTGTAGAGCTGCAGTTTGGACATTACTCACGGTTACAAACTGGGGGCTCTCGAGGTGTCCAATCGAGTTCGCTGTTGGGGTATCTCAAACAGGCCAGAGTTGCAGGTCCTGACAGGAAGTAACCGCGGAGGCAGAAGAAATGAATTGTAGAGTTCTCAGCGTAGCGAGGTCGTGGATATGTGATGTAGCCATTCTGGGGTTCAGCAGGCTCTGGGCACTCCCCTGGGATCAGAGACAGCACCAAACATACAGTTAGCCCAGGCAGTCAGGAGCTGTAGCTGGTCCCAAGACCCCCTGTATATGCAGGAGAGAGAGAGACAACTCACCAGTGTCAAACCTTGCTGCTTACTCTGTAGGTCCACACAGACCTGGAATGTTACAGTATTCCCACCTCCATAAGCAATGCAGTTTTCACCAGGCAGCTACAGATACTGACAAATCCAAATGTGGCCATGTAACTGTGACTCCCACCTGAAAGTGCTCTGTCAGTGATTTTTGACTTTATGGCTACATTTCCTCATAATAGTCACAGTCTGTGACTGATTTTTATTGAAAGGTCATTGACCTGGAGCACTCGGAGGCACAGTGAACAAATTAACACCCTGAGAAAGTAAAATCTAGCTGACGTAAGTGAAAAGCAAAGATAGCAGTGAAAAATTCAAGCAAAATTTCCCTGGACAATATGACCTTACGTCCTCACTGTACTGGAAGAAACTTTTGCTGCACAGACATAGAAACTAGGAGCAGGAGTAGGCCTTTCGGCCCTGCTCCATCATTCTATATGATCATGGCTAACCATCCAACTCGTTATCCTGGTCCTGCTTTCTCCCCCATAGCCCTCGATCCCTAAGAACTATATCTAGTCCCTTCATGAAAATATTCAATGTTTGGCTTCAACTAGTTTTTGTGGCAGAGAATTCCAAAGGCTTATCCCACTCTGGTTGAAGGAATTTTTCTTCATCTCAGTCCCAATGGTTTATCCCTCATCCTTAAATTGGGAAGCATCAGATGCACTGTCTTAACAAAAAGACAGTCCAGGGGTACTAATTAAACTGGTAAGTTTATTCCCAGTTGTTTACTTCCTTTCACTTCTCAGGCTCCATTTCTTTACAAACCAAATAGCTCCTCCCCTTGGTCACTGTTGGCTGGTTTTATTGTCATTCACTTTTCCAATCTTGAGTGTTCGGAAGCTATTCTTGTTTGGAGTGTTAACGTGGTAGTGTCTGCCCCCTATGGGGGACTGGGTAGCAATCAGGAACAAATCCCATCTCCGGAGCCCTGTCTGTACAATATTTCACCCTCTTTCACTCTTTCCTCTAGCTTTTTAGGCTTGTACTCCCCTTAGTATCAAATTTGGTGTGATTTGATTTGATTTGATTTATGATTGTTACATGTGCTGAGATACAGTGAAAAGTATTGTATTGCGTGTTATCCAGGCAAATGAGGAAGGGTCACCGGACCCGAAACGTTAACTCTGATTTCTCTTCACAGGTGCTGCCAGACCTGCTGAGCTTTTGCAGCAACTTCTGTTTTTGTTCCTGTTTTACAGCATCCGCAGTTCTTTTGGGTTTTTTACATCATACCATACGTAAGTACATCAGAGTAAGAGAACAGAATGCAGAATATAGTGTTACAGCTACAGAGAAGTGCAGAGAAAGATCAGCTCTAATATAGAAGAAGTCCATTCATAAATCTGCATAGCCAAGGCAGAAACGAGTGTAGACAGAGTCAGTGGATGGAAGCCTGGTTTGTGTGTGATAGACTGGACTGTGTTCATGACTCTCTGAAGTTTCATGGGGTCTCGGGCAGAGCAGTTGCTATCCTTTGCTGTGATGCATCCAGATAGGATGCTTTCTTGTGGTGCATCTCTATAAAAATTGTAAGAATCGTTGTGGACATGCCGAATTTCCTTAGCCTTCTGACATGTTGGTGTGCCCTCTGACTGTAGTGTCGATGTGGATGGACCAGGACAGATTGCTGGTGATATCTACTCTGAGGAACTTGAAGCTGTTGACCAAGATGATTGGAGAAGTTGCAGATGATTGGAGAAATTGATACAATGGATGGGAGAAATGCTCACCTTTACTGGAAGCATCCAGGACAGGAGGACAGAGCCTTACAACCAGAAGCCAGGGACAGTGTCAAGATGTATTTATACACGAATGGAGGGGCGGGGGGGGAATCTGGAAGTGTGTCCCTGGAAAAGGTGTTGAGACTTGTGAGGCCACTGAAAGTGACAAAGCTGAGATTTTATTTAGATTTTTATTGTATGAGAGTACTAAAGCTTACGGAGATAAAGCAGGTAAACCCAGTTGATGTGGTCAGGCCTGATTATGTATTTCCAGGGACAGGGTTTTATAATGGGCTTTGCCGGCCAAATCTGGGTCCTGAGCCCAAATTTGACGGCAGCAATTTTCACCGGACACTGCCAAATTATCCAAGCTTGCCATTTGAGGATGGCCAGTGTGGGGGGCTGGAAACCCCCATGTAGCCAATCCAATAAGAAAGTTGGCAATTGCAGAGCAGTGCCATCTGGGACTGGTGGGCATTACTGAGGTGGGTTGGTGTGAAGGGAGTTGGGGGGGGGTCTCAACATGCAGCCGGCTTTAGTGAAGAAGGTATAAAAGTAAAAATCAGTGAGGGAGGAACCCTTCTCTTATATGACATAAATTTAGTGTTCCCATCAGCCCATGATTTTCTTGCATACGTCATTATGAGTGTAAGGTGAAAAGTTCTGACAGCTTGTCTCTATCAGCAAAACTTGTATCCTGTATAACGAAGCAACCTTTCTTTTAGAGATAGTAGGAACTGCAGATGCTGGAGAATCTGAGATAACAAGGTGTAGAGCTGGATGAACACAGCAGGCCAAGCAGCATCAGAGGAGCAGGAAAGCTGACGTTTTGGGTCTGGACCCTTCTTCAGAAATGGGGGAGGGGAAGGGGGTTCTGAAATAAATAGGGAGAGAGGGAGAGGCGGATAGAAGATGGATAAAGGAGAAGATAGGTGGAGAGGAGACAGACAGGTCAAAGAGGCGGGGATGGAGCCAGTAAAGGTGAGTGTAGGTGGGGAGTTAGGGAGGGGATAGGTCAGTCCAGGGAGGACGGACAGGTCAAGGGGGCGAGATGAGGTTAGTAGATATGAGATGCGGGTGGGGCTTGAGGTGGGAGCAGTGGATAGGTGGGAGGACAGGTTAGGGAGGCGGAGACGAGCTGGGCTGGTTTTGGGATGCGGTCAGGGACGGGGAGATTTTGAAGCTTGTGAAGTCCACATTGATACCGTTGGGCTGCAGGGTTCCCAAGCAAAATATGAGATGTTGTTCCTGCAACCTTCGGGTGGCATCATTGTGGCACTGCAGGAGGCCCAGGATGGACATGTCGTCTGAGGAGTGGGAGGGGGAGTTGAAATGGTTCGCGACTGGGAGATGCAGTAGTTTGTTGCAAACTGAGCGTAGGTGTTCCACAAAGAACACCAGCTAAGAGTCAACCTGGCAGAGCAGGCTTTATGGACCAGATGGCCTACTCTTGTTCCTATTTCTTATAAAGGACATCAGTGAGCCAGGTGGGTTTTGGCAGGAATTGACAATAGGTGCCATGGTTGACCTTCAGACTTAGATGGCAAATGATGTGACAGACAAAAACACAATCAAACTGGAGTCCAGTACAACTGAATCTATTTAAATCACTTATAACATAAATGTATCTCAGTAACTGCTAACCACTTCATATTCAACTCACTAGTCTGGATTGTAACTCCCTACGCTGGAAGCATCATGACTTTGAGCTTTAACACTGCCCTTACGTGAAGAACCTGCCAGGTTCACTCCAACAAGTTGTGCTTTTCACTGGGTTCCAAACTCAGGCTCTCCACTTTGTGATGGTGGCTCTTGAGTTGTTGTTTCCAATGTCTCCAATGTCACCTTTTTTTAAAAATATACCTTTTTCTTCCAACCTTCCAGAATGTGTGATGACGTATGCCTTAATCAGAGCCTTCATGACTCTAAGACTCCAAGGGTCACATAAACAGGAGACATCTGTTTCCATGGTTCCTCTTATCAATCTGACTATATCCCTTTTTGCAACTAGCGAAGTTGAAAAATCTGACTGGGCCATTTGCTGTTTGGTTTTACTTCTTCTTGTCATGGTGTGCTAATCTGGTATTTATATAAAGTTAGCATCATTTCCCATCATGCCTATCAGGCTTCAACTTTGCTAGTCACAAGGTCACAGTCTCACTTTCTAATCCATTGAGTGTTTAGTGAACTGGAGCACAAAACCCTTGGTCATTTGTCATGCACACAGACAGATATCCAAGTCCAGGTGGTGTGTTTGTAGCAGAACCGTACATCAAGTGGGGGAAATGTGCGGCTAATACCAGGAGCTAATTGCTGCATCTTTTATGCACTTGCTGAGCAGGGAGGTGAGTTTCTCTCTAGGCAGCAGTGAGTTGCCAATTAAGAGGGATTAGAACTTGTTGAACAAATTATTGAGATTGCAACTCGCCTCATTAATGTTCGGATTCCCATCTTGCCAAATGTGCCGAACAAACTTGACAAAGAATTCGCAACATGGAATTCCCAGCAGGCACCTGGCCACTTCAGCTCACCACGAAGAGCCGCCATGTTGCTCAGCACCTCAAGCATGGCCCATGGTTCCAGTCGCATGGCACTTCTCATCCACAGACACTGGCATCTGACATTTACCAACCCCTCCAGAATCCTCATAGCACCTCTCCGAGCAACTTGCCGAACACTTAGGAAATACAGACCTTTACTGCAGGCCGCCCCGACATATACGAGCAGGGACAGGTAACCCGTTTGCAGATTTAGGACCAGGCCGCAGCTCAGAGTTGCTTGCTAGCTCTCTGAACGTTCACTCACTTAGCACGTACCTGTATGCCCCCACCATCCATGGCTTGTCATGCTTGTTGTAGGGGTCTATTCAGGACAGGGGCACATCTTACTGCACAGCACATTGGGAGTCAATTTAAAACCTACGG